GCTGAGCAGCATCTGACTCTCTCGTGTGGCTGCTCAGATGCTTACAGGGATCACTGACTCAGACGCTCTAACTGCACACTGATGACGTCTAGGAGCCGTTTGTATCCTTGAGCGATTTTACTGAGTTGTTACATATACTCCTCCTACCCACAGGAAGCCATTCACCACTATTGGGTCATCTTCCTTCACGAGCAATGAACTCTGTTGTATAACCCTTTGCCCTCAACCCCTAAGTAACTTCCACCTCTCTCCCCCAGCTCCACACGTTCAGTGCAACTTACTGCCAATTATTTTCCTGCTCCAGAATAGACTCAAACAGCTTCCACATTGTAATGTTTAGTTTTGCTCAAATGAAGTAATACTGCCAAACGTAATTGTATAAGCACACACTGGATTTACTTCCTGTCACCACAGTGTAGTGACAGGACGTGCTGTTAGATGATTTTGTTAGAATATTTTTTGTAAATTTTCCCTTAAACCAGGGCTGTAAACTGAACACTCTTCAAAGGGAAATTAGACTAAATAAATGCCCTGGGACACTATAACCATATGACAGATCGGCAGCAGTTGCACATGTAGCAGTTGGTTCTCATGATGCTTTCTTGTCTACCCAACGTCTCAGAGCCTGTTATTTGCTCACAAATGGGCCACCTGGGTATTAAAGCATCCAGGGAAACATTCTTCGCATATTGAAAACAATACTGCAACATGATCTACTTTGGATAATGTGATGCAGCATCTAAGAGAAGCAAAAAACATTTCAATATCAAAAGATGCCAGCTTTTAAATTTTTGTTACTAAAACTTAATTAGCCTTATAGCCCATCTGGCAATTTGTAAGCCATTACCCAGCATTCTTTGCTTCTTTCTACATTGACTATTTGAGGCATGCTTCTGAGGCTCTAATCAGGGTTAATCCTCACATAAAAACTGCTTAAGAACCCCAGAAAAAAAAATCACTCTTCAGTGTGAAACATTCTTCATTAGAGCTGAAAAATTAGTTTGGTTAATAGAGGAAACATTCAGTCAGGTAGAAAAAATGTACAGGCTGATTCTGTGGAAGCTAACAAACTCGTCCGAAACCTCTGAGAACAGCATGGCATTGAGTTCCAAACAGCAATATCTACAACCTCTTTAATAATTCATCTGATTTAGTGCAAATCCAGCACTGAAAAGCCACTTCTAATTAACTTGTCCCTTATACGTACAGTGTCTGAAGGCTTTGTCCTATGAATAAGCATCAGGAAAACAAGAAGGAACAAGTGGAGAAGAATTTTAAGAACTGTACATTCCTATTGTGCTTACTGTATCAGCTTCAAGCTCAACCACTCAAAGGGAAGTCCTCTCATGGGTATCACTGAGTAATTTGTGGTAACAAGGGATGAGTAACCACACAGAGAAGGAACAATGGTAGCTAGGATTTAAGTTAGATTCTTTGCTATCTTATGCTGGCTGAGTTCTAGAGAGAGAAAGGCTCGAGTCATTCAAGACAGGACTAGCAGCTACACGAGTTTCCTCGATGGCCCAGCCCTGGCTTCAAGGGATCCCCTGTGAGGGACAAGGCGACAGCTCGCTTCCATGCCCACTCAACATTTGCCCTCGGTACTAAGACTAGCACCGCAGTGTCAATTAGCGACACACCTGGTAGCAGTGGTGCGAGAACAAAGACATCTGTGCTCTAGGGCCTGGAATGAGGTTCAGCCCCCCATTTCCCAATAGCCAAACCATCAAACTCTCTCAAATGGGATCCCCCTATAGTCTGCAGAATAACCATACAATGGGACATTAGCAACACACGCAGAGGGGCTAGCATCGCAGGACTGCAAGAGCATTGTGTCTTCTGGGCTACAGGAGATGTGTATTTTACACACACGTGAAGTAGCACAGAGGTCAAACAAGTTGCCCTATCGCAGATGTCAAAACCCTGGAGGAAGCCTACCGAGCTCCTGCCTGGCTCTCACCACTAGACATACTGTTCATGTGAACACTGGGCATGTTAAAACTAAGGATGTTAGAGGCAGGTAATTAATCATGTAGTCGATCAATTTATCAACTACATGAACAGGCGACAAGGGGAGGCTTGCGCTGGGTCCAGTAGCCCCTGCCCGTGGTGAGCCTGAGCTCCCCCTCCCCCCACTGCCTCTGACCGAGGTAGCAGCGCAGGGGAACGGGGGGCAGGCAGCACCACAGATACAGCGCTGAGGGGAACCGGCTTTTAAGCCAGCTCCCCTCCCCCCCAGCACCAGCTCCTGCTTCCTCTCCCTCTCTCCACTGCCTCTGATACAGAGGGAGCGGGGGGTGGGGGAAGGAGGTGGGAGCAAGTAGCTGAATAGCCGACTATCTGCTTACATCCCAAGTTAAAATTAGTTTATTTTGATAAGCATGTCCCTGCATGCACCGGCTCCCACCTGCACCCCACCTCGATATAGAGGCAGCGGGAGGGAATGGGGGGAGACTGGGTTAACCGTGAAGGTTAACCAATGAGTCCAGGCTAACCATTTACTTGTTTAGAGTCACATCCTAGCGAACACTACCTGCAGCTCCTCAAACCACGCGATCCTAGTGAAAATGGCATAGGGTGATGATTCAGTCTGTACTATGTTGCCTGGTGGAGCTGTCCAAGGTTCTGCAGACAGCGTACAATGGGACAGGTTCATTCATACAGGACAGCCAAGTAGCATGAAAAATTAATGAAACCAACATTCATTATAACCTTCACAGAAAGGCAAACGGGAAAATCTTACAGAGGGGGAAAAGATACTAAAGGTAAGTGTGATCTGCAGTCATGGGAAGAGACCGACATACAAGGGGCTGAGATAAAATGTCCACCTGGGGACGGGGAGAGAGAGCTCTATGAACAATGCAGCAGCTCTGTTGAAAATGCATGAGCTACAGTAAAATCCAGCACCGTCTTCGAGATGCATTGTCTCTGCAGAGCTAACCGGAGGCAAAGGGAATGAAAAACTCATTTGCCACAGAAACAAAGAGAAGCAGATCTGTTAGGTAACACATTTCTAGTATCTAAGTGCACTTTCAAGGCCTATGTCATTCACAGGAATGTTTACTGAAATCCAGGCCACAGCCAAACCAGATAATTATCTTCTACCTCACTACAGTCTCCAGTTGAAACCACAGGGAAGGCAAGTCTTCCCACCTCTCCCCTCACCTTCCCAAATACCAGAATGGCTGCTGGGTTCCAGGCTCACAATTGGGTGAAAGGCTTCACTTACATCACAAATGGATTAATTATCTCACTCATGTATGGTGCTATGGAATCCGCCTTTGTAGAAACCTAGTGCCAGAGTATTGTACATCCCTTTCATCTGCACCAAAGCAGTTCTGAGAGCCCCAGCAACTCCCTCTCAGCAACAGAACAGTTAACTAGCCCTGGCGTTCTGCACAGTGCATACCACTTTAGAAACGTGAAAATATATTATTGTACTTGCTGTCTTTCAAGATCCACACTTCCCCTTGGAACAGCTTTCTTTCTTCCAGCAGGCTGCTGCCTCTCTCCATCAAATCAAGAGCAGAGCAGAAATCTTTGATTATACGAATGAGTCCCACCTCTGTGAGAATGCTTCCAACTAGCACAGAGCGGCGGCATTAACATGGAGGTGACCTTAGCATTAGCCACACGTCATGTTATGGCACCAGTCTCCATGTGGCAATCCTAACCTTTGCTAAGGTGACCTAGGGAAGTTGTGTCAGGCCCTTGATTTCACTTACAAACCCTGTTTCCCACCAGAGTTTCCTTTGAGCAACAGAACCATCGTGTCAGAGGGACAGCAACACTGAAGTGGGCTGAAGCCTGAGCTGCAGTTCTTGACTTGGCTTCCCTTCCCTCTTCAACTGTTGAACCAATTTAAAAATTGCACTAACGAGGTTGAGCGAAGCCAAGAGGATGGTGTGACAACATCCTCTCTCGATGCCCTGAGCCACTTGGGAGATTACTGTTTCAAGGGGAACGTTTTTTAATAAAGGGCTCTGGCCACAACAAGGGCTCCTAGGCAAACAAGCAGCAATACAAATAAATCTTTGAGCCTCGTCTTCTAGTCCTCCGGCAAAGGCAGAGATGCCAAGACCAGGTATCTGAGAGTTAACACATGCTCTGGGACTCCACTACGGAAATAATCAAGCAATTAACTCTTTTTGCAGTTTACCTTTAAGAGTCTGCCTAAAAGGATCGCAAAGACTGGCAACTTGTTAAAGATGAGTCTCTAAAGACTAACCAAAGCCAATGGAAATCTTGGGACTGGGGCTGTCTCTTCCAAGTGAGTCCTTAAGTTCAAGCTTCCTAGTCTCAGTATAATGGTGCAACTGGGAAATCCAGAACGACAACTGGCAGGTTAACTGTACCATACTGCCTTAATTTCACCATAGTTTCATGTATTTTGCTTTAATTACACTTCACGGTGAAGAATTCTACATGCACAGGCAAGAGATACACCACCCCATCCAACTGGGAGTTGTATACTGCTAACCTCTAGGAGAACTTGCCAAATGGGGAGACACAAGTTTTCTTAAAGCATCCCCTACCAGCCAAAAGTCTCAGTGTCTGTCCAGAGAAAGCTAGAAGCTCTGGTTCAAATGAACACAATATACCAGACAGTCAGTCTTAGCGGATCCCCAGGTTCTTTTTTGCAAGGAAGCAGGGAGATACCTGATGCCAATGTCAGCTTCTACTTTTCCTGTAAAGCCACTTATCCAAAATGTTTTTATTGCTATCCCCTTATGCACAGAATAGCTTCCCCACTGCTCATGAGTGCAGATGCATGTGAGTTAGATGCACTTAAATATGAAACGGAATAATCCAGGCTAGCCCTGCACATTTCCTTAATTTGTCTCCAGAAGCTGCAGCAACCTGCCTCATTGGAGTGCCACAGAATCCAAACATCCTTGGGACAGAACCCAGGTCCCATTTGCTGCAGATGACACAGAGCCTCATAACAAGTTTATGGCTGTTGGAAAATAACTTGGTTAAAATCCCATACTGCTACTTACTAGGAAGCGGACATCGTCAAAGCCGTTCAAAAGCAGCTTACTCTCGTACTGCTGCAGACCGATGGACTCCAACCACTCCCCGACGCTCTGCTCCAGCATCCGTGAACCTGACGAGAGAGGAATCGGCAGACGCTTGAAAAGGGAAAAGCCATTAAGTCGGTAGCAGCGGCACTCTGAGGAAGACAGATGGCATTGCCACATCATAGTCACTACTGTAAAGAAGCCAAACTATGACCACAGTACAAGTCAGAGGGGAGACAACTCCTCTTGCGCACACAGACCATGGACAATAAGCTCTGGGTGCTGCCCACAGACTGAGGCTTTAATTTGTATCCCAGTTCTACTCAAACACATCCTGCAAGAGTAAGCTGTTTAGAACCATTTCGGGGACAGTAGCATCACATGCAAGGCTTTCTGGGCTTAGGCACGTTTCTTGCCAGGCATACGAGCCGAGCGGAGCCCAGCCCCCATCAGATGGATGCTGATCAAATCCTTGGCTCATCGCAGGGGGCATCAAACTTTCCCCCAAGGCATCCCAAGTCAGGAGTGCAGATGCAAGACACTGGCGAGGAAGCGCTCACAGATACATACAGCCACGCGGGTCCTCTCGTCCATGCAACTTCAGGTGCACTGCTCCGTACAGCAGGCCAGCAAGAAGGGCCGTTAACTTTGGAGGAACAAAACAGCTAGAGAGAAAATACATCCTCATGCAGCTGAGAGAAACACAGACACACACGATGGTAGCAGCAGCCAGACTAGAGAACAGCTGTCCCCGGGAAGACATGCAAGACAGAAATAAAGCACACAAAACTGTAGCAGAAGAAAGGAAGAGTTTATACTTTTTTTCCCCAAACAGTCCCGAAATAGGCAAACCATGGTAACAGGTCCTCTCTGCTATTTTGTTACGAGGAGCAGAGGCACGAATGACAGCGAGCCTGAGTTTAGGAGTCCTGGCATTGTCATTTTATCACCCATCCAGAGGCATCGCATCCCGGCAGGTTGCTTTGACTGGACTGGACTGGGGACCAGATTCAACATCCTAGACCGGAGCCACTAACTACACTGCAGCATTGGGTAAGAGTGAGAGATAAAGAGGAATCAGCACATTTTCCACCCAATGAATTCTGTCCTGCCAGGTGTTTCACACAGGCGTGGATTTGCCCTTGCTTCATTTTTCTCAGCTCAATGCAGATGCTGTTGTCCGAGCCCCTCAATCAGATGGAAAGCAACTCTGAGGAAGGAGACATTTCAGTTCCTTGTTTCAAAACCAAGCCAAAAGAAAAAGGAAACTGAATATACCCACACACGCTTGACTCTTTCTGCAGTAGCTCATGTCCACAGCTTGCCCCCGGCACCTCCTTTCAGCCATTCGATCAATGCCCTACAGAAACCAAATGTGCAAACCCTCCCTTCCCCAACCCCAAGAAGAGAGTCCAGTAACCAGTTGCCTTCCTCTAAGCAAGACGCAAGACATTAGATATGCCGAGAAAAAAGTTCAGAGGCGACCTTTGCATCCCACTCTGAGGATTTGCTATGCAAGACGTGCAGAATTTCTCAGGCTTCCTAAGCACATCCATCTTTCAAGGGCATATGCAAAATAAAAGGACCAGGGAACCTTTGCATCCACTGAAGTCGTTCTGCACATTCTAAGACATCCTTCCCACCCCAGCCGACAGCAATTCCTGCACAACGCGGAGCTCACTGTGTTATCGGAAAGATCTTAGAGTCAGGGATCCCACTGCTGCACTAGTCCACAGGAGAGCTTCTCGGCTAAGCAATCCGTGATCAATATGTTCTAGAGAGCTGGCGAGTCTTTCTAACACACACTGCCGCCCCAGAGATGCAGAGCTCAAGAAAGATTTCCGTCTCCCTTGCCTCCCACAGTCCGTGGGACAGCATCGAAGCTTGGAATTCTAGCAGCAGGCTCCTGTTTGCCCAGAGACTCCATCCTTCCCCACTAAGAGTTCATTCGTGGCAGGGAAGCAGCTAGACAGCTGTGGTCTGGCCTTAGCGATCGAGGGTGCACCCTTGCAGAGAGCTGCAGCACAGTGCTTTGTCTGAAGGCAGCGAGCGCCACGCTTACTGTTCCACTCGGTCCTGTCTCTCGATCGCATGCTGCCTCTCCCTCCCCTTCCCTCCTCCTCCCAGCCTTTCCATATAACCTACCAGCAGCAATCAAACTTCAGTACAGAAGCTGCCAAGGTAGAGGAGGAGAGGGGAGATACTGCAGCTTTGTAACTGTTAAGCTCAAGTTGCCGATTTTTTAATATTTACTAAATGATGAGCTCCATGGCTCGGTTTTTAAACAAATGGTAAAGGTTTGCTTAGACCGTATCAAGCGATTTGCCATGTGTTCAGAATTTCTTTATCATATGTGAGATGCACTTATGTTAGGACAGCAGGAGATTTCTGCATTTGCCAGCAGTCGGGCACCAGTGACAGGAACTGAGACGGTCATCTTCTTCCTTTGATTTTAAAAAAAATATTTTTTCAGCTTTTGGTAATTTTGCAAACCTCTCTGCCTCTCTCAGGGAAAAATCTGGAGTGATAGTGAGATCCAGAAACCATTGGATGTCTGCCAGCATTATTTGGAGAAGTATAAAATGCCCTTGAATAATTAATGTCTGCATATTATAAGGAGAAGAGTGAATTAGCCCCCCTACACTGCTTCCTTGGGTCACAGCTGTAACAGACGTCTGATCACAACTTCATTTTAAAGAGAGGATGAACAGGGTCATTCTTACCCATGTGCAGAATATTAAGCTGCGTAGTGCATCCAGATAATTTGGGGGCACCTCTGGGTCTTAATATCCACCCCTTCACACTTCCTATCCCTGTTCTTTCACTGCTTCCTCCTCCAGCAAGAACCAAGTTAATTTACAAGTGACAAAGCCTTTCAGAGCGATTAGCAGAACACTGAACCTGTGAAAGAGCCATACAAGTGATCATGAAGCCATTTAACAGGCATTTTCCAATTCCAGGTATACACGGTCAGCTTCTGAACGTACTGTGTTAGTCTAAAGGAGCTTAGTTTAAAATCTGACAGTTATTTCATTAGTGTATTGTGGAAGATTATAAAAATCACACTTCTAAAAAACTGCCATCCCCTCCAAGCTGCTAATGGGGATAGAGGCACCAGTTTAATAGTACTGCTTATGAGGAGACTCCAAGTCCTAAATCTAACCAGCCCCACCACTTCTCCCCAAGCCTGGTAAAGTTATATCCAGAGCTATGATTTCTGCTAAGAGTCTGGCCTGGGTTTCAGATATAAAAACCAAGAGTAGATAGACTAATTACATTTCTGACAACACTTGCTCTTTAGGAATCTTAAGAAACAGAACCAAGGTATTCTTTTTTCCTGAAAATGCAACAAGCTTGAAAAGTGGTAAGGTATTAGGGCTGAGTGAGGCCCCAGAAAAGTTCCCATGTAAAAATCTAACAGAATGCGGCAATTGTTGTTCAAGTGCTGACAGCGTGCTTGGTGCCATACAGAGGATAAGATGGTCCATGCCCAAGAGATTTCCTTAGAGCAGACTTTACCTATGCATGGGGTCTAACAAGTGTGTTTTGACATGACTTGTCTGGAATTGAGGACATAACCCACTTAACATTATAAGGCAACGGGGGGGGAAAAAAAAAATCACAGGCTGTACTCTGTCTTCACTGAAGCCAGACAGTATAGTTCAGACGCAAGATGCAAAGGAGGCCAAACCTCAAGCAGTGCAATTATTGGCATTGAAAGAAGGATGGAACATGGTCTAAAGGGCTGGACTATTAGTAAAATGTCCTCAAATCCCTAAAGGTGCGCTATAAACCAAATCAAGCGCATTAGGCAGGATGTATAGGCAGAGAGGTCTAAATACATTAGCCATTAGTTCTCTCAGATGCAGGAAATATAGCCAGTGCTGAGCACTACTGGGATTACAACTGATTAGTCAAATGCAGAATGCTAAAGAGCCTCCCTTTGTCGAGTAAAATGCCATCCACGTTTCAGGCTTGTGTCTCTTGCTAGCTGCACAGTTCACATAGAGCTACAAATGCAGTCCCTGTCCAGTGCACCAAACCTCCCCCTCCATCTGGCTGATGCATTGTGCAGTAACCATTCATCTGCTCTGGCAGGGAGAGAGAAACCTTACCTGAGAAATGACTAAACCAGCGGGCATCATAGAGGTGTGTCTGCTCTCAGTTACAGCAGCCAGAGCTGCTGTGGTTCAGGAAACTGCAGTGCCGTGGGAGTGATTCCATCAAGGAATCCATTCCCCTCTACCTTGTCCCTGATATTTGCTTTTTCAACATACACGAAGGCAAAGTCATGAGCAGGCTGTTGACATAAGGAATGCAAAACTGCACACCACACACCAACTCCTACAGGGATATAGACTGCAGGCTAATACAAAGCTTTTTGTCCCCAGGCCAAAAAGAAATGCTTTAAGATGGAGCTGAGGTGGAGAATACATTGCTCTTCAAGAGATGAGATTTCTTGCTCATCTAAGCCATTGAAAAGCACTTACAGACAGATCAATGCTTACACTTCGGCTGGAGAGATGGGTTTTTTTCCCCTAGTCTAAGATATCCCACTTCTGGGATTCAGCCAAGTAGTACATTTGGACAAAACAGGTCATCTTCTGCAAGCCTCACTGGGAAACCCAAAGTTTGAGCAATAAGTTCTAGCCCAAATACTGCAATAAAGAAAGCCATCTCTCTCTGGTAATGGGGGCCATCCTGTTACCTTACTATCTGTGTCGAATGCATTCCTCACAACACCCCCATAAGACAAGGAAGGCCTGTTATCCCCATTTTACAGTGGGACCAGAGGCAGGGAGACTAGGTCACATAGGGAGTCTGTGGCAGAGATGTAAACCTCAGTCCCCCAGTCTTGTAAGTCCTTGGCTGGATGCCTAACCACTGAACCATCTTCCCTTCGTAATGGACCCTCTCTTCCTTCTCTCTTCAAAGTGAGAGTCCTCTTAAGTACAGAAACGCAGTTGAAAAACCAGGTGCTCAGAACACAGTAGCTCCACAGCACTCGCTGAGCAGGGAAAACCTGTAGTCTAGACATACCTTAAGTGTCTAGAGTAGCTGTTCCACTTGTAGTCTAGACATACCCTAAGTGTCTAGAGTAGCTGTTCCACAGAGGACCTATAGAAAAATGTATGGTTTAAGAACAAAGCAGCTGCATGCGTCAGCCCATTTCTGAAAAACAAGTGTCCAGTTGATCAAGGTCTCCCTGCACAATAGCTGAAACAAAAATGGAATCCCTCTCCTCAGGCCTCCGCATTAGTGATGCCAATCCAACAAACTCCAAACAGTCCTGCAAAGGGGGACGGTCACAAAGGAAGATGCTAACTGGTCACCATTGGATCGGACCCAAATATATCCTCTGTCAACACACACGTGCTGCAGCTCTGTTTGACTTGAGAGGCAAGTCTCAATCAGTGACCAGAGGATCCACAGCAGTCACAGGACAGACTCCTACTGAACACGATGACCTGACCAACGCAAAATCCAAGCAGCAAACTTCAAGAAGCAAAGATTTAATATGGCAGATATGCACTAGATACACAGGTACATACTAGCTGAGATGAAGCACTTAAATGCAGCACTTTCGGTGTGGAAAAACATAAAAAGGCAGGATTTATCACTGTGAAGGCCGCCTTTGCTTTCTCACGTGTCCCTCCTCCACTGGAGACAAAGGGTATGTCTACACTGGATTTCTCCTTCGAGGGAGGAATGCAAATGTAGACATCTGAAATTGCAAATGAAGTGGGCATTTAAATATCTCGCACTGCATTTGCATAATCGCGGACTGCCGCTTTTCCGCAATAGTGCTATTTCGGGACATCAAACTTGGTCCCTGCAGGGTTATTTCGAGAGAAAACCCTTCCCTCAAAATAACCCTTAAACCTCATTTTTTGAGGAGTACTCAAGTGTAGACATACCCAAACAGAAGCTTTCATTAGCCCTCCCTTTGGCTGCTCCAGGAGGGATGGGGGAGGAAATAAGTATTTAGGGAGCAATCCAGGGGAACAAAAATGTTTCTTCCATAAGCAAGTCTGCTTAGGTTATGTTGCAGATATGCAGAACTATCGTCTTCTCTCCCTTGCTGCTTCTGCAGCTGACACCGAAGAAAAAGCTGATCTTTGGACAAGTTGGCAAGTCTGCCAGGAGCAGCCTGCAAAACATCAAGTGTACAAGAGGGGGTCATGGCCACTGCATTACACGTGTTGACAAGCAATGGGCATCATCCCAAATTCTGCCCACAAAGCATTTTATTACACACACACTCAGAGGACAGAGATGTAAGGTTACCTTTCTTCCAGCAAGAGGAGCAGTCTGAAATCCCAGCCAAAAGGATCAGGTGCTTGCTAAGATGTGCCAATTTGACACCTAAAAAATGTCCTGATAAAAAGCTTACTGGCCATGGCGTTAACACAGCACAAAGTACTACTGACAGCAATCTAGTTTTAAAACATGCTAAGTGATGGTACTTCCATGACTTCTCTTGGGAGACTGTCACAGCCCAGCTGGTCTCACCATCAGCTGGTATTTCCTGCTATTCTCAACAACTGTCCATGAATCATAGCCAGCCCCTAGCCAGTAGCGAAGTTCAGAGTCCACTTGAAGTTTTGGACACTGCATTTCACCATCAGATGGCTTGATTTCCATGGCACATCAAGGTCACACTCCTCTCCTACCACCAAATGATTGCGGGATATCGACTCCCTTTTGGGAGAGGCACAGACAACAGGTCTCAGAGAACTGCCTGCAGCTGTCTGACAGCAGAAGGCGTAAAGCACAAGATTAATGTCTAGGATGAAAGCACACCTTGGTAGCAGTGAAGGGTTAAGTGTGGCTCCAGGCCAGCCCAACTATGGAGCAGCACTGACATGCTTTAGAGGGAAAACTGTCCAGAAAGATTTGGGTTGCCCTGGAGTCCTGAGATCAGCAGACATGGAGCCATGAATGTTGAAAAACCCTCAGGCCTAATCTTCATACAGGTGGTTAAGGGAGCACCCCTTCGGCACACAAACATACCCATTAGGGTTCTGTACAAGGGGGACTTAATCAAGCTCTTTACAAGTTCATGTAAAAGCTGACCTAGCTGCTAAATGAGGATGAACACATCTTGTCTGAAGGCCCAGGATGAATAATGTGCTTCTAACCCCTGCTATTTTGAAAACGTATTTATGAGGGTTGGTTATAACAGCCATGGATGTTTTCCAGGTCTGAAGTTTTCCCCAGATAGCAGTCCCAATGCTGTATGTTCGCAAGTGTACTATGATTTTAGAACATGACAAAGAGTCTGCAATGGAACCCATCTGCCAATGTTCATATTCTGCAGCCTTCAGTCAGAGCAATGAATATACCAGGTGGCAGCTTTCACCAATACCAGCATTGTTTGAGGAAATACAACTGACTGATGAACATAGAAAAGGCATCTTGGCACCAATGAATGTCCCATTTATTCTGTGGAAGGCTAGGCAAAAAAAAAAAACAGCACAACACAGGGGCATAATGAATGTCCCATTTATTCTGTGGAAGCCAAGAAGGCTAGGCAAAAAAAACCCAGCACAACACAGGGGCAGGGTTAATTGGTGACAATCAATCATCTAATTTCTAGAGGCAAACAAACAGAAGGAGCAACATCCTTGAAAAACAGAAGAGCAACCAGGCAAACTATTATGCTGTATTAAGAGACAGAAGGAAGAAGTTGAGTTTATTTGATTTGGAGCCTTGACATGGATTCGTCCCTGGCCTCTGCCTAAGCAGTCATTTCCCAACACAGGCTTCATAGTGGCTAATTTTAGTGCATCCCTCCAGCCAAGTGGAAGCCCTATGAAGAAGCAAAGTGCAATAATGAGATGCCCTGGCAAATGAAACGGATTTGCAGAACAATTGCAGGAGCTTTGTTGGCAAATCGCTGCATTACTCCATCTGCTCGGGGTACTTCATATTCGAGATTTGGTTGAAGAAGTTCTCTCTGGGAGAGATTAGATTTAGGTTTAGGACCAGCTCTACTGCAGACTCTAGCAAATCGCTGCATTACTCCATCTGCTCTGGGTTCATCATATTCGAGATTTGGTTGAAGTTCTCTCTGGGAGAGATTAGGTTTAGGTTTAGGACCAGGCTCTACTGCAGACTCTGTTCACTTCTCAGTTTGTTTTACAGGCACACCAAGAGGCTCTAAGACTAGGGGCACATTTTTGTATGTACAGCACCTAGCACACAGCCCCTGCCCCAGTTTGCAGTCTGAACCAAGTGGGAGAAAGGAAGGATTGGCTGCCATTTTACACCTGGGGAACTGCAGTACAGAGATTCATCTGTTGCCCAAGGACACAGGGAGCCAGGATCCAAGATGAGAATGCTCAAGACCAAATCTCCTGAAGCCAAGCTCACTGCCTTAACCAGAAATCCATGTTCTGCTGTGACCTTAGCCATCCTTCATTCACATTTAGAGGCAGTGCACAGGACTGAATTTTTATTGCCCCAGCTTTATAGGCATTATGAGCTTCCCATAAATTCATTTCCCATCACAGGCTTCATGACAGTTATTTTAGTGCATCCCTGAGGCAGGGAAGATCTTTTCTGTTTGAGCATCAATGCCTTCTCATTGTCATCCCACAAGAGCAGGACTGGTCCCTGAAGAGCCTGAACAGGATCCTCTGTCCTGCGTGGGCAGAGTCCTATATACGCCTTGTTCAAGAGCTTCTGCTCCAAGCCAACTAGAAATGTTATTTATAGATTGAATCTGTGGAATATGTGTGGGAGCCTACAAGAGGCTCCAATGTAAAGACAAAGAAGTTTGTTCTAGTTGTCTGGGGGCTGAAAGAAGCCACACAAGATTGGAAAATGAGACTATTATACTTCCTCACATAGCTGCCTGCCACAGTATACCACACAACCCACTGGCGGAGCTGGAGATATGAATTTCGAGGCAACCCTTGATACCTTTATCTCTGTATTAAGTCTGAGCATTTGTTAACAGAGATTACAAGAGAGAGAGAAAATGTTTGAAATCAAAGCCTAATTGAACCCCCACAGAACAAATAGGTTTTCTTCCTCTGCTCTGAATGGGCATTGAGAAGTGTGCCCCGACTTTCCATCCTTGGGCCAAGGGGAGGAGAAAGAATGGGCCGAGCAAGTGAATGCCCAGCAAGTGAAACCAAACTTCTGCTCTAAAGAACTCTACAGCAGGGCTAACACTGTTTAGCGCTCTTCAGAACCCAGACACACATTTTTCCTCCTCAATCTTATTTCAGAGTCATTTTTCTGAAGTCTAGAAGGGATCGTGCCATGTCTACCACAGGGAACAATGTCTGGAGAAGTAATACTTCAAAAGCAGCAGCTGGTCACACCCTAAGCACTACTGCCAACCTCAAGAGTTCACAAGTCCTGAACCAAGCCTACAAATGAGATTTAAAATAACGTTTGGGGCTTTGTAAATTCAAAGCAGAGATTCTGACAGTATCACCTGATTGTAAGAGATGAGGCTGGATACTGAGAAATTCAACAGAACCACAGAGCAGACTACGTCCAGGGATCCACACAAAACTAACTCATTTCTCATGAGGCAACACAGCTAAAGCAGCCAACTTCTACCTGACAGCACTTTGTGATATCAGTCAACTCTGGTTTAAAGTAGGCAATAAGAGTCATTAGAGAGTAAGCTAAGGCTCACTTCCTTGTTAGGGATGCGGTTACCACCTCAACCCTCCCTCTCACCAGCCAATGTCTGTGGGAAAAGATTACTCAACATTACATAACACTACATGGAAGGCAGAGAGGCCTCCAAAAATCAGGACACAGACAGCAGAGGTGATGTCACCCACAGAAGCATGAGATAGGACTGAGAATCCTGGTCCTCTCATTCATTTTCCCTTCCAAATGCAAAGGCAGGTTGAGAAGGTGGCTCCCAAGAAGGGATTTGCCATTATGTCAGGCTTTGAATACAACACAAGATTTGAGCACAGTACCTGAGATCCTCTGCTGTTCCTGAGAAAAGTCAATGCCTTCACCGATGGAGCTCATGATTTTCTCAATCTGAAAATATAAAAACAGTATATTGCCACAAGTCTCAGCCCAAAGACAGAGGCAGCCTTGGGAGCTTGTCCCCATGCAACTGCTGAAGGCTCCCAGGTGACAGGGAAGGAAGAGAAGTTCAAAATCCCACCAACCCCTAAGGGTCTGTCCTTAAAATGTGGCCTGGAAAGGAGATTTTCTAAAGAATGAATGGAACAAAGAGGGAGAGGGGGTGGGCATGGGACTCTACCGATCCCCACCCTCCCCAAACGCCGTATTGTCTCAGGAAAAGCCACCTACATCTCTGCATCACAGAAGGAACTCACAGTCCTCTGTGGATCACCAAGTTTAATTAGGGGAGGGAAGAGGCCTGTAAAACCTAGTTCACCCTTGACAAACATGCAACCCCTCCTTCACCAATGGTGACAAAAGCCTGAAAAATGCAGTTCACATCAACTCTCTCGTGGCATGCAGCAGGTACGTTTCATTTGGCCTCTGCTTCTTGACCACCCTCCCCTGTCTCAGCTGCCCTAACAAGGCACTTCTACTGACAGCAGGGCTGAACAGCCAATGTAAGCTCTAAAACAGATGCAGTTTGCAAAAGCAGCAGCATTCTGGGACACACACATGAACAGCCTGGAAGACAGAAGTAAAGACAATGTTGTCCCCTCAAGTAAGCAGCTCAGAACCCACAGCTCCAAGCAAATCCCATTCACTGGTAATCAAAGGAAAACTAAAGGAAATTTTAATTGCCAGGGATCTGTCTCTCCTCACCACTTCCATTCCTGGACCTGGATTTCATCAGCAAGTTTGCCCCAAAATTCAGGTTTTGTAAGTTAAGATTTTTACAGAATCTGAAAGACCAAACAGAAGTTTTACTGTACATTTTCTTAAATGCCAATAGAAACATTTTAAGACAAAAATAATCCCTGTGAAATTGACCAGGCTAACCTGCCCAGGCTGAGAAACTCAGGAAGTTGTGCATCCAGAGTGAAACGTGAAATTCTTGTAGTTTCCATAATTTAAGGCATTCAAAACATAGGTAAGAAAATGTAATTAAAATATGATTGTTAGCTCTTAATTACAACCTGCTATTGTCTTGCGAGCAGCAGTGGGAGATTCAGATTCAGTTTGAAATCCGGGTGTCTAACCCTACAACAACATGCTAGCAAATCTCAACAGTAATCCTCCACCTCTCCACTAGAGATTTCGGGTCACATCTCATGAATGGCCTCTTGCAAGATTTCAGTGCAGTTGCTGCTGGATGGGAGGCACATGATGAAGGACATGCAAAGATAATGAAAAAAAATCAGAGTTTATTTGGATCTTAAGGAAAGCTTATGCAAAAGTTTCTTGCTAAGGGCTGGCACGATTCTGACCAACTTTGGACCAGCTCACGGGTTTTATAAAGACAACCTACCTAAAACTCGTAATTTGGGAAAGCAGTGTGGCTTACTACCCCCATGGTGTACACCCCCACAGCAATGGAAGGTTTTAGGCTGGCATCCTCAACAAAAAAAGAAACCCTATGCCCAATTTCTGAAGAGAATCAGGGGGAGCTGGGAGACTAATTACCGTATGCTTCTCTGACATCCCTAATCATGAAGGACTTCTGTCAAGTTAGATCTCTAACACAAGCCTTCCTTTGTATACACAGTGGATGTGGCAAAATTCACTTGGCATCTACATCTCTGTACCAGGGAAGAGGTGCCATGCACTCATCTATAGAAAACAAGGATTTTGCTAAGATGGGAGGATTCACTGCACCTAGATGCCATGGTCATGGCTAATTCTCTAAGAGAGAGAGCTGTTTTATTATGGGCTTTGACAACTAGTTTGAAATATCAGCTGGTAAAATAAACAGGAAAGAAAGAATGAAAATATTTTCTCTCCTCCTCACTCCCAATGGCCCATATGAACATGCCTCTCTCTATAGAGGCCTTGAGGTCTAATGCAGGGCTCTAAAAGCACTCTTAGGCTGACAGACATGCTTAATGGGCAAATTCTACCTACAACATCATCCAGCAGAAAATATTAAATTTCCTTTATTCTTGTGGTACCTTAAACAAGACTGTAATGTTCGGCTGGTAAGAACTACTCTGACCCAGGTCTCCTTTGTATCAGATCTGCTGAGATAATCAGGTCAGCGTAACACCACCTGCGTATGCCAAGGTTAGCATGGCCCACCTTTGCTCTATAGCAGCCTGACAATGACAGACAGGATAAGGAACTGGCCAGTCTGGTTTACAGCTTTAGGAACAAATGGTCAGTATTTTTTACAAGTGGTTGAATTTTCTCCTCATTCCTGTAGGCTGAAGGGCCCCCTCTGATAGGACCAGACCAACAATAAGAGGTTGGGGGAGGCACAGATATCCACACCGACTAAGAGGGCAAACAACAGCAGCCCCTTTAAAAAGCTCAGCACAAACCAAGCATCTAGCAGACCGTGCAATTTATCTTGCAGCGTTGTGATCACTAGGCGTCTTCTCAGATAAAAATTACAGGACCTAGCAGACCGTGCAATTTATCTTGCAGTTTTGTGATCACTAGGCATCTTCTCAGATAAAAATTACAGGATTGCTCATGTCATTTGATCTTGCTATTAAGGCTTAGACACATTCTAGTTCAACAGGAAGCCCTGGAAACACAGCTTGAAAGGGTCTGAAGAAATCTTATTTCTTCAGCCAATCGACAGCCTCTGTATTAAATCAGCCCTTCTGCAGTATTGACACAGTAGAAATGTAGATCAACTAAACTGGAGCCCAATAAAAAGAAAAAATCCTGATTTTAAAAGCCAATCTGCCTCCCCTAACAGCATCAAAGGCAATACCAAACCAATGCTTATTACAGTTTGTGAATTTTAACTTATTAATTGGGAATTAAGAAGGGGAAAAAACAACCTTCCCTCTCCCCTACCGAGGCCTAGAATCTCAACTTTCACTTAAAACACCATTTCTAGCCCTCAAGGTTGTGATGAAAACCTTGAAAGTACAAAAGTGGAATGGATCCAGTGATGTCTGCAGGAGCCTGCAGACAGCTTGGAACAATCAGAGGTGAATTGTCCTGTATGTGTCAGTGAGGTATCAACTGGGGGGGAAAAAATGTCCTTTTAGTGTAAATGTTACCATTTTCACTGCTTATCACTTCAGCCGGAATAGCCCTTAAAGTTGCTCTTCTTGAATAGCCTCCTATGTCCTTCCAGTACCAAGACCCTGGCTGACAAAACTTCAGCGTGTCATGATGCACTTTATATAGTGTCGCTACAAAAATTCACAGAATACTGAAGGTATAAGTGTAGGGATATTGTAAGAGAGGTTTACTATTCAAACAAACAGTGGGGCTATTGTATCAATTGCTTCGTTCACCTTTCATGTTTAGTCATTACAACTTCCATTATTTAAAATGAAAAAGGAACTGCTGCAGCAGAATCTGGATACCTTGCTGCAAAATGTAGGTCTAGTCTGTCGTGAAATACACGAGCTTTGAATCTAGACACTTTTTAAAAACAACACTGCCCTAGAGTACCAGAAGTGTACGGATACTATGCCCGGCACATTTGGGAGGCTCTATCAAGCTTCTTGCAAGATTTTGAGCAGGCACCACTCTTACCTTCGAAGACATTAAGTTAACTTCAAGTCTAAAAGCTTAAGGAACTCTCTTCCTTCTCAGAGGACCTTTTGGAGCACAACTCACGCTTGGTCCAAACCCAGTTCCTACTACAACCACCGAACACCAAGGAAAGTTTTGGACTAGAGCAGAGGGGAAAAAAGGAGGGGAAATGTATGTTCCAGCAACCCCATCACCCTCAGATTGCTTCCCAGCAAGAGGTAAAGCATTTGGTCAGTCTCTTCCACCATGGTCTGGTTGAGCTCTGAAGATGTGAAACAGCTGCTGGGAAAATAAAGCTCACAACAGCAGTTTCAGGCCAATTCAACCTGGACATTCACAATCCCTCTTTGGTCAGGATGACTGACACTCAGCTGATTACTACCCAGGCACTCTGGGGAAACCTCCTCCCCTCAGCTACCTGGCACAGAAAACCCTCTAAGACCCACTGCTTATTTCTAGGAGCGTGACTTTGGGCTCCCTGGGTGCAAGCTGAATCGCTGTTCCCACCTGGGACCACTTGCACAACTGCTCTGCCCCAGATTGATGGGGAAGACTTTCCCCTCATAACTACCACCCATTTCTCTGTTTCTCAGCAGGCCGTTGATGCCAACAGAGCAGCATTCAGGCGCCACAGAACGAGCATCCTTTGATTTATCTATGCAATAACAGACTCTCCCCAGCCTCTTAACATTTCCTCCTGTCAGCAGAGCTCACCTCTCTCCAGCAGGAGCCTGTGACAGTGCTCAGATGCTACAATGAGGGAGCCCAAGAGAAAAATCCAGACAGACGTGGGGGGAGGGGGAGAAGAGTGGAGAGTAGGGCCTGCCAACACAACAGAACAAACTTTCCAGTGGTGCATACAGCATTTTCCCAACCCATCATCCAGGCGGTAAAAACCCAGGTCAAAAACTCTGACAGCCACACTACAATAAGTGTGCTTGGTATTTGCTAGAGTGCCTGGAAAGCCCACATGTTCTCCTAGTAATACAGTGGGCAAGATTCATATCCCATACTTAGTGCAACTGAATGTTGACTGTCCACAGGGAACATTAATACACCAACATAATGCCCCTCACTGGAGGTCAGCCATCTCCTGACACTGGGTTCACAACCTAAAGCAACTCCAAGTTACATTTAGCTGGTATTTAGTAGGGATGTGAAGATTTAACCTGTTAATCGGAGGGGCTGGGGCAGTTCCCCGCCTGCCACGGGCAGGGGGCTGCTTTAGCCCCACAGGAGACCCCTTGTGGACACTGGCTGCTTCTGCATCCCGGCCAGTGCAGTCCCTGCCTGCGGTGAAGTGGTGTGAGTGAGTGTGGGGAAAGGGGACATTCCAACCTCCCACTTGCATTCCTTTAATCAGTTAAACAATAGCCAATTAAATAGGATTTTACATCCCTACTGGTTAGTCA